TTTTCTTTTTTTTTTTTAGTCATCATCTTGCTGTGTCGCCTAGGCTAGAATGCAGTCTGCAGTGGCTCACTGCAGCCTTAAACTGCTGGGCTCAAGTGACCCTTCCGCCTCAGCCTCCTGAGTAGCTGGGACTACAGACACCTGCCACCACGCCTGGCCAGGATGCATGATCCCCACTACATGTATCTATGTCTTTTTGTGGCATTCTGAGTCTGTGTCAGATACTGTCCTTCCATCTGGGTGTGACATTCACCATGTGTGTCATGTGTCTGTAGCATCTATTGTGTGAATTTAACATCTAGTGACATTAACGGTGTCCCAACATGTCACCACATATGACATCCTCTAGGTGGGTCTTGCATGTGATAACGTGTGAGTTTGCATGGTTCTGTCTCTGCATCTGTTTATCCTGATGTCAGTGTGACACAGTATGTGAGATACCTAGATATGATATCATGTGTTGTGACATTGTTGGATGCATGGATAGGTTATTGCCACATATGTGTGCATCTTGGATGACATAATTGTGTGTGGATCACCATGCGTGTGACATCTTACTAGGTGTACACGACGTGGTGCCCCTGTGTGTCTGTGCATGGTTCTGACCTGTGGCAGCTGCAACGCTAGGTATGTGTGGCACCTCCCAGTGTATCTGGGCCACTAGGGCTGTGGTGTGTGTATGTGTGTGTGACATCATGTCCTTAGTGATGCCGTATGTCACTATTTTCAGTGTAAGGCTGTGTTCTTGGTGGGGGTTGTGTTATGAACCCCCCCTTTTTTCTAACCCTCAGCATCCTAGTTCCCGAAGAGGGAGCCCCCAGCCCCTCCGTCGTCCCCTCACCCACAGCCGCAGTGACTGAGCATATTAGCGCGTCCAGGAGCACGCGGCATGGGGGTGCGGGGAGGCCAGGCTGCGGCTATTGTTCTGAGGGTGCCAAGCCCCCCAGCCTCCCCTTCTTCCTCTACCTCCACCAGGCTTTGGAGCCCGCAGCGCCAGCAGACAAAGGCGCCACAAACCCCCAGTGGCGCAGCCTCCTCCCCCCGCGGCCGTCGTCTCCAGCGTGCAATCCCCCCAGACTCGGCCCACATCGACCCCCATACAACCCCGTCCCCGGCGGGAAGGCGCTGCTCGAGCACCTCTGGCGCAGCTGGACTGGGTGCAGCATCCCGGGCCCCGCCCTGCGACAGCACCCGGAGCACCAGCTTTTGAGGGGAGGGCCGGGACAGTGTCTAGGGGATCGGGGGTCTACCTCTTGGTGCGGCGGAACATACTGCCGCCGGGGAAGGAGGGCATCGAGAAATTGGAAAGCGCGGTCCAGAGAGAGTCAGACATGACCCGGCGGCGGCGACATGGTGGCAGGTGCGGCAGCGGCGGCGGCGGCGGCGGCGGCGCGGGGAGCAAGCGCGCGGGGCGGAGGCTGGAGCCGCAGCGGGCAGGGGAGGGCAGGGAAGGGGAGGGCCCTGCGGCTGCGGCTGGCCGAGAGAGGGCGCTGCTGCGTGCCGGCGAGTCAGGCCCCGCCCGCGCAAGCGCCTGACGTCCCCACCCCGGCTGAAGGGGCGGTCAGCCCCCGCCAAGTATCTCCCCAAGGCTCACCTGCTGCTTTTCCGAGGCAGGGGCAAATCCTTCTGGAAGGCAAAGGGGCAAAACGACGAAGGTCAGCGTGGACCTGCCGTTGCTGCCCACAAGCATTCTCAGCTCTCTGGAGGAGCAGAAGCAGGGTAAGACAGGCCCCTCTTCAGCCTTGTCACTTTTACCATTTGCCATGCATTGCGAGCCAAATTTCTTGGGGGAGAAGATCCCCGGGTGATTCCTATCCTGAGTCCCAGAGACCAACAGTGCCTCAAGTACACAAGCGAGGCCCCATATAAAGGCAAGTGAGTTGGCATCTCAGTGTGTGATTGTGCAAATGAAATAGGAATGTTTATTTGAAAACCATGTCTTGAGCACCTACTGTATACTGACCCTATCATAGGCACTAGGGACACAGCAGTGAATAATTTACAAGCCCGGTGTGGTGATGTGCACCTCTAGTCCCAGCTACTTGGGAGGCTGAGGCAGGAGAATTTCTTGAATCCAGGATTGGACACCAGCCTGAGCAACTCGGCAAGACTCTATCTCAAAGAGAAAAAAAAAAAAAATGTTTCTGACCTTTTGGGACTAGCATTTAGAGGGTAAAGGGGACACTAAAGATTAGTGTAGAAGTGAACGAAATAATTTTGGACAATGATGTGGCTTATGAATAAAATTAAACAGGTGATATGACACAATGGCTGGGATGGAGACATGTCAGAGAGGGATGCTCTGTGGAGGTAACTTTTAAGCTGGCTGCCGAAAGATAAGAGCCAGCCATGGGAGGATCTGTGGAGAGAGTATTCCAGGTAGAGGGAACTGCAAGGACAAAGGCATGGAGGCGGGAAGAAGCTTAGCATGCTCAATGAATGAATGAAAAGCTGAATGAATAAATGACTCATCTACACCTCAACAGATCTATCTGACTGCCAGGTAGAGTCACAGAGTTGGGGTAGGGGGTATGTAGGTAGAGTGACTCAAAACTGAGATTTAAAATGGGAACTGGGGAGGCTGAGTTGGGAAAATAGTTTGAGCTTAGGAGGTCGAGGTTACAGTGAACTATGATTGCACCACAGCTTGAGTGAGACACCGTCTCAATTAAAAAAAAAAAAAAGATAAAAGCTTTAAAAAATTAAAAAATAAGCCTGGGTTCTGTGGCTCACACCTGTAATCCCACCACTTTGAGAGGCTGAGGCAGGTGGATTACATGAGATCAGGAGTTCCAGACCAGCCTGACCAACATGGAGAAACTCCGTCTCTACTAAAAATGCAAAATTAGCCATTGGTACATGCCTGTAATCCCAGCTACTCTGGAGGCTGAGGCAGGAGAATCTATGGAACCCAGGAGGCGGAGGTTGTGGTGGGCCGAGATCGTGCCATTGCACTCCAGCCTGGGCAACAAGAGTGAAACTCCATCTCAAAATAAATAAAACAAATCGCTGGCTTGGCACAGTGTCTCAGCCTGTAATCCCAACACTTTGGGAGGCCAAAACGAGTGGATTCACAAGGTAGGAGCTCTAGACCATCCTGACCAATATGGTGAAACCCTGTCTCTACAAAAAATACAAAAATTACAGCCTCATGCCTGTAATCCCAGCACTTTAGAAGGCCAGCTTGACCAACATGGAGAAACCCTGTCACTACTAAAAATACAGAATTCACCAAGCGTGCTAGTGGGCGCCTGTAGTCCCAGCTACTTGGAAGGCTAAGGCAGGAGAATCATTTGAACCTGGGAAGTGGAGGTTGCAGTGAGCCGAGATCCTGCCACTGCATTTCAGCCTGGGCGACAGAGCGAGACTCCATCTCAAAAAAATAAATTAATTAAAATAATAAAATGGAAAGTCAGGTGATGACCACGTGGGCATTTTAAATAATTACAATAATAATAATTAGTGGCTATTAACTTTATGTGTCTACATTTGAAGAAGGTCACGTTCCATTTGTCAAGCTCTCAGGAAGTCACTATAGGGATCAGGAGATACGGGGTCTTGCCCCTTTTCTGAGGAAAGGAATGAAGGACAAAGGCAGCACTTTCCAGCCTGTTTTCTATCCACAGGGTGAGGTGGAAGGAAGCTGAGTGGGGCTGCAGATAGAAAGATTTGAGGGAGAATTTCAAAAGGCCTTTGGAGAGGACTCTTGTTCTAGACTATTTCCAGGATCTCTAAAAGCAGAAAAGCCTAGATTCAAATCTCAATTTTGCCTTTTATGACCTTGGCAAATGACCTTCCAATAGTTCCGTGTCTCCTTGAGGATTTTGTGAGTTGATGCAGATGCCTAGCCCCTTAGCATGGTGCCTAGCACATATCAAGCACTCAATAAATACTAAGTCTTGAGAACAGGAGTTATTAAGGAGGGACATGCTGCATGACAGAGGATGGGGCACAGGGTCATCCCACCCCCTTGTACAACAGACAAACATATAGGCAAGGCCAAAGGGCAGCCTTGCCCTCCTGAGCTACCGGTGACCGGTAATCCAAACCAGGTTTTCCCTCTGTCCTTGCATGATTCGCGTGAATGAGCCGCAGCTAGGAGCAGACGACCTGGCTGTGTGTCCTCAATGGCCCAAGCAAAATCAAGACCTGGATTTTTATGTCCACAGAGCCCAGGGGGTCCAGACCCGGGTAACCCGGCCTTGGAGGGCAAGCCCATTGGGGGGCTTTTAAGCACCACCCGAAGAAGTCCTTAACGGGGGCTTTTAAGCACTAGCCAAAGAAGTCCTCGAACCCAGCCCCATTCGCTAGCGCCCCCGAACATTCTAGGGACGAAAAAAGGGTCAAACTGGAGCGGCAGAAGTTCGGATCTTTGGCGTCAGTGTAGACAGACGCCACCTCCAACCTTAGCTGCAGAGCTGCTCTGCGTAGTGGATTCTGCTCCTCCTGCACAGGATTAACAGCTGACACTGCAGAGAGGGCATTCGAACTCAGGATGCTATCTATGTATAAGATCCCCAGGCGCGGTGGCTCACGCCTGTAATCCCAGCACTTTGGGAGGCCAAGGAGGGTGGATCACCCGGGGCCAGGAGAGTTCAAGACCAGCCTGGCCAACATAGCGAAACCCCCTCTCTACTAAAAATACAAAAACTAGCCAAGTGTGGTGGCGCACGCCTGTAATCCCAGCTACTTGGGAAGTTGAAGCAGGAGAATCGCTTGAATCCTGGAGGCGGAGGTTGCGCCAATGCACTCCAGCCTGGACAACAGAGCGAGACTCCCTCTCGAAAAAAAAAAAAAAATCCCAGCTGTACACAGGGCATGCTAGTGCGGCAGCGATGCGACAATTCCTAAGAGCTTGCAACGATGTGTGTGGGTGCATCCAGGCAGCGAAGTGGTTAACCTGCCAGAAGGGAAGCAGTGGGCACGGGACTCCGACAGGGGTCGCCGGACCCAGAGCACGCCTCTGGTTGGGTGGGTGAGTGGAAGCATCCCGCGTTGGGGACGGTGTCTGGAGCAGGAGTCTAAAGTCCCGCGTGGCGCTGAGCCAATGAGAGTTGACGCCGGCCCGGAGGGCGGCGACACACCGTGCAGTCCCCGCCTCTTTCCTCCCTTTTCTCAGACCCGACGGCGCGGACCCAGCCAGGCTGCTGCAGCACTTTATTTAACTTTGTCTCATCTGCCTTCCTTTTCCCGGAACCCACTCTCCTAACCCACCCCTGGGAGGGGGAGAGAATGCGGGGAGCACTTCAGAGAGGCCTAGGCTCCGGAGATCGGACCATCTGGGTTCTGAAAGTAAATTAGTTTTCCAACTCATGTCTGGTTCCAGCATTATCCAGACGCCTGGAAGGTCCTTCCTGCCGTCTGATCACCATTTTTCCTGCTGCACTGACCTATCAGCATCCCTTGGTTTTCAACCTCGGGAATAGTGGGGGAGTCTAGAAATGGACGAAGCCCTAGGTGAGGGTTTGAATCCTCTTTTCCCAAGACTAAGGCTGCGGATGGAGCCTAAGCCTGGGCCCATTCTTGGCTTTATCTGAACTCCAGATTACCAAGCCTGGGGCTGAGCTCCAAGGAGGCTGAGAAGGGCCAGACCCTAGGCAGAGCCTTAGGGCGCAGCTATCATCACCTTCCCCTCTGGGATGTTTGGCACCGAACCTCCGTATTAACCCTGAATTTCCGTATTAACCCCTCAGAAGCGCAGCTGAAGACAGGCAGAGGGCCCTTCTCGGCTTCAGAATCCCTCCCCACCTTGGAGGCAGGACCTCCTGACACCTGAGTTCGTGTCCGCCTTCCCCAGACTCCACAGCGATCCTCAGTGTCCCACTCTGTGCAGTGGACGCACTCCTCCTGCGCCTGCGCAGCCTCGCGACCAGTATCTTCTAAGGCTGCAAGGAGCTAAAAATCGCTCCCGCCCACCCACAAGCTGGGCTGGACTTGAGGATCGCGGTGGGGGGGTGGATGTTGTAGTGGAGGAGGTGGAATGAAGAGTGAGAAAGCTGTCTAGGTGCCTGTCCAATTAGGGCAGTAGGAAGAATCCTGATGGCCAGGCAGGTGCGTGGGGGACGCAGGGCGTCCTGTGCCTCGGGAGGGGACTCCTGGGGTGGTGAGGGGCGAGGCTGCAGCACAAACATGTTTATACCTGCAGCGGCGCCGGTGGCCCCGAGGGGCGCAAGCCCTAGGGCAATAACTTTGCTCGCGTCCCCTCACCCCCAGCCTGGCGAGAAGCCAGGGCGATGACTTCGGCCGCAGCCCCCTCCCCCTAGGGCGGGCCAGGCGTCCCTCAGGAGATCCTCGAGGTGGAGCGCTAGGCTGCACCCACTCCGGCAGCTCCCTGGATCACAGGGCGGCGCCTGAGGGGCGGGGTCCCCAGCGCGGCAGGACGCGCCGCTACTGCGTTCCCCGCGGTTAGCGTCCCGAGCCCATGGGAGGGGGCGCCCGGCCGACCCTGGTGCAAGTTCTCCCGCCTCCTGCCCGGCTCCGCCCCAGGGCGCCGACCTCTTGCTCTCCACCCGGGGCCCAAGCAGCGGCGTACCTGCAGCCTCCGGCGGCGGATGAGGCCCGAATCGTCCATGGCGGCAGCAGCGGCGACTTCGGCCAGGGGAGGGAGGAGGGAGGCGGCGGCGGCGGGAGGAGGGAGGAGGGAGGGAGTGAGAAGCCGCGGGGACCGCGGCGGCGGCGGCGGCGGCGGCAGCGGCTTGGGGGGGATGGCGGGGGCGGAGCGAAGTGGGGCGGGCCCGGCGCCGTCACTGCGTCTGGGCGCCCGAGACCGGGCTCAGCTATCGCTGCCCGCGCTGGGGGGGAAGGGGCGGTCGGGGGGGCGGAGCCTTCTGATGCCCCCATGGGAGCCAAGCTGCCAAGAGACCCCTATAAAGAGAGATACCCCAGGGGAGAGACATTCTCAAGGGTAGAACCCCCACTCAAGAAACACCCCAAAGGAAGCCTTCTCCCTGAGATACATTCCCTTTACTGTCGTTGCCCCGGCGACCCCCTTGGTGAGACACATTTCCAAGGGGAGATAGTTTCCACAGGGACTCCCTCTCCAATCAAGAACTCCCCCAACCCTGAAAATCATTTCTAAGAGAGATGGTCCCTGACTGACATTCCTCTCAAAAGTCACCTCCCCTGCCCATGGAAGAGGCATTCCCAGAAGATAAAGATCCCAAGAGTGGCAATTCCCGTGGAGACCCTGGGGAGGATACCCCCAATGAGAGACCCCTAAAACCCATATCCTCTGTGGGAAATTGTCCCCACCCATGAGACCTCCACAGCTCCAGGAGAGATGTCATTCATACAGAGTGACATTTTCACTGAGGAGACCCGTCCTCATGGGAGATGCAACCTCAGAAAAACATGTGCATGCATATTACGCCCCCCACCCCCCGCAATCAGAGTCGCCTCAGGGAACCCTGCAGCCCCTCTAGCGACCCCTCCCTCACGGTCAGGATTAAGGAGCCAGGCCAGGCCGTCTGTATTTATAGGAGCGATTAGCTGATAGTTGGAGAGTGGGGCAGTTAAAGGGATTTTCACCTCCCTCGACGCTCCTCCCTGTTCACACAGATGAGGCCAAACCCACCATGCTTCCCGAAGCTGGAGAGTGTCCGAGCCCTCAGCACTCCAAGTCCTGGCATTGGGGGACAGAAGGGCTTTCCAAGGGGTGGTGGCCGGTATCTGGCCCCAAGGTCCTGGAGGGCGCGGTCGCTGGGTAAGAGCGACCCCTGATGGACGACGGGGATGACGGCGAATCTGGGTCCGGGTTTTTCCCCAGGAGCTTGTCGTCTCAAGTCCGCGCCTTTGCCTGGGTTATCTCTGTCTCACTATATGTTTGTTGGCACGTTTGTGTCGCCGTCTCCCTGAGTCCCTTGCTCCCACATCTCTCCGTCCATGGCCGGGACTCCGCCCCTGGCGACCTCTGTCACGACGGCGACCGCGGGAGCTCTCCTTGGTGCTGGCCTCGCACGCTCCTGTCCGCGGTGCTGAAATCCAAGCGCAGGGTCGGGGGCTCAGATTAGGGAAGGAGAGAGGGTACGGAGGCTCTGGCGTGAGGCATGTCCCAGAGGCTGAACAGATCTGACCCACAAGGATCCTGGACCACCTCAAGATGGACTAGGGGAAAGCTAGGTCCAGCAGATCTTGCTTACGGAGGCCTCCAGCACATCACTGGGTGCACACAGAGGGACCCAGAGACAGTGTCTACTGATTTGTTCACTTTTTCACCACTTATTGAGCACCTACTGTGTGCAATGTAGTGTTTTGGGATCTAGGAGGGAGTACAGCAATAAAAGAGACAGACAAAAAGCCTCTCTTGCCCTGAGATGAGAGGCACACGAACACTTACATACAATCACATGCTCAGCAAACACACACGCATATATTCAAACATACTCTGCAAACATACTCCACAAACACAGATCCACACATACTGCAAATTAACACATGTATAAACACATACTCAGCAAATACACGCAAACATCCATAAATACGGATACACACAAACTCACACTCTGCAGCCATACAACACATACTTAAGAAACACAGACATATACACACTTATGAAATGCAAACACACACAAATAACACATATAAACATAAAATAAATGTAAGCACAGTCACATAGTTCCAAAACCAAGGGATGTCCAGTTGCACACAAATTCTCATCTAAAACACAAATTATTCTCATAATACAACACATAGATACACACCCCCATGCCCACTGCAAGCATGTTTTTCTCATCTCATTCTCCCCCTAGAATGTCAGCTCTATGAAGGTTGAGATTTTTATGTCTTTTATTTTTATTTTTTCAAGGCAGAGTATCATTCTGTTGTCCAGGCTGCAGTGCAGTGGAATAATCTTGGCTCACTGCAACCTCTGCTTCTCAGGTTCAAATTATTTTCATGCCTCAGCCTCCCAAACAGCTGAGATTACAAGAATGTGTCACCATGCCCAACTAATTTTTTAAATATTATTTTTAGTAGAGATGGGGTTTCACCATGTTGGCCAGGCTGGTCTCAAACTACTGGGCTCAAATGATCCTCCTACTTCAGCTTCCCACAGTGCTGAGATTACGGGTGTGAACCACCATGCCTGGCTGAAATTTTCATTTCTTGTCCACTACTGCATCCCCAGAATCTAGAACACAGTAGCTCAATAACTCTTTGTTGAATGAATGGATGAGTTAAGGGAGTCCTGACAAGCAACACACATTCACAGAAACTTCAGAAGGGCATAAAACTGTGTACATGCTTCTATGAGCTGGTGGACTAAAAAAGAAAAAAATAATAAATAAGCAAAAAAAAAAAAAAGGCCGGGCGCGGTGGCTCAAGCCTGTAATCCCAGCACTGTGGGAGGCCGAGGCGGGTGGATCACGAGGTCAAGAGATCGAGACCATCCTGGTCAACATGGTGAAACCCCGTCTCTACTAAAGATACAAAAAGTTAGCTGGGCATGGTGGCGCGTGCCTGTAATCCCAGCGACTCAGGAGGCTGGGGCTGGAGAATTGCCTGAACCCGGGAGTCGGAGGTTGCGGTGAGCCGAGATCGCGCCATTGCACTCCAACCTGGGTAACAAGAGCGAAACTCCGTCTCAAAAAAAAAAAAAAAAGTAAAAAAAAAGTGTGTACATGCAAACACACCTTGTTCAGCACACGACATTTCCTTGTTCACTCATGGTCAACACTCACCGTCCATAACCTTTATCTTTGAATTCCAGGTTACAAAAAGAAAAAAGAAAAAACATCTTTATCCACTGACTTCCAACATTTTTGCAGGGACACCAACCCAATCCTACATTCCCCCTTCCCGCATTTATTAAGATTATGTTTTATTTAACTGTACACACATGGCTTGGGACACACAATCCTCACCCAGATTCCAAACGTACACATATATATGCACACACACAACCAATCCACCACCAAGAAACACACATAAACAACTTCACACAACAAACACACACATACATGCTCAACACACACATAGCCATACAAAAGACACAGGTTCCCCGAACACACGCAGGTTGTAGGCCACACAAACACACCTTACACACACACACACACAACTTCCACAAACACACAAACACACTCCCCATATATGTAGATACAGAGCTTTAGCCACAAGCTCAACATAAAAGCAAACACAAGGATATACATATATACACACCAGCCCCAAGTCGGCCAGCCTTTGGTCAGCAGGAGTGTGGGCGGGATGGTGGGAAGTCCCGCCCCTGTATCAAACCACGCCCCTTTCAGCTGCCCGTTTCCTGGACTGGATCCTGAGGTGTCTTAGCAGCCTCTAGACCCCAATCCAGCTAACAGGTGAGGGGCTGGAAGCCGGGAGGCAGGAAGGGGATAGTCTTGTCTCCACAGACCCCTAGCTGTCTCTGCCCTGGGGCTTTGGGCCCCAGTGACAGAACCTGAGCCCTGCCACACCATGCCTGGTCCCAAAGGCCCAGCTCTTGGTGGCCCCTAAGCCGATTGTGGGCCGAAAGAAGGTGACCCAGAGAGGGGCCAGCAGGGATCAAGAGGGAGGAAGGAGGCTGTGTAGAGAGGGAGGAATTACTGAACAGGAGAGGGGGATTGGAAAAGCTAGGGAGGTCCCCTTCATTCTGAGAAAAGAGGGGGTCCCTTGAGGACTAAAAAGGTGGGCGATCCTGCTGGATGGGGGGAGGGCCACTGTGGTCTAAGCTTGGTGGTGGTGGCACTAAAGGGACAGAGAGGACATAGGTCTGATGGGAGGGGGTCTCCTAGGTTGGAGGCAGGCTCTGGTGGTCTCCTGGGATTTGAATGTCCTGGGCCACTGTCCAGCTTCCTCCTCAGCTGCACTTTCCCTACTCTGCCTGGCACTGCTTCTTGGTATGCATCGGGTGGGTGCCACCCTGAGCTCACAGAAAGGGATGGCTGAACCCCACCCTATGGCTGCTAGCTTTTATCTCAGGTGGACATGGCCTTCAGGGTCCACATTCGACCCATCAACCTGGCCTGGGTCCTGCAACTGACCCTGGCATGGATCCTGCTGGAAGCCTGTGGAGGGAGCCGACCACTCCAAGCCAGGTCCCAGCGACACCATGGGCTGGCAGCTGATCTGGGCAAAGGCAAGCTGCACCTGGCAGGTGAGCAACCCAGACCCTACCTCAACACCAACACCCAGAAACCCACACCTACCCTCCCATGGCAATGTTAGAATTTCCTTATGAGAGGATCCTAGCATGGCCACCAGGGTGGGAGGCAGGGATAGTACTGAAGGATGATGGTTAAGAGACTGCCTGGGTTTAAATCCCAACTCTGCCACTTTGTAGCTGTGTGACTTTGAGGAAGTCATTTAACCTCTCTGAGTCTCACGTTGGCCTCCCAAAAAGAGAAATAGCAAGCATACCGCGAAGAGCTATTGTTAAGATTAAACCTACAGCAGGGCACGGTGGCTCACGCCTGTAATCCCAGCAGTTTGGGATGCTGAGGTGAGTGGATCACTTGAGGTCAGGAGTTTGAGACCAGCCTGGCCAACATGGTGAAACCTCGTCTCTACAAACAATACAAAAGTTAGCTGGGCGAGGTGGTGTGTGCCTGAAATCCCAGCTACTTGGGAGGCTGAGGCAAAAGAATTGCTTGAACCTGGGAGGCAGAGGTTGCAGTGAGCTGAGACGAACCACTGCACTCCAGCCTGGGTGACAGAGTGAGACCCTGTCTCAAAACAAAAAAAAGGAAAAATATTAAGCATATGTGTCACTACCAGGCACGTGACAAATACTAAGCTGATTATTATAAATGAGAAATGATTATTACTAATTGAAGCTGCATTTGCATTCCAAAGGAAGGGTCTTAAGTTACAGGTTTGTGAGGATTGATGTGTGATTGGGGTCTCCCTTGTCTGGGGGATCCCGAGGCCTCAGTTCGCAAACCTTACCTGAGGATCCAAGACTCTGGCTCACAGGGGTCCCCTTTGCCAGGACCTTGTTGTCCCTCAGAGATGGACACAACAGAGACATCGGGCCCTAGGACTTATCCAGAACGCTGTGGAGTGCCAAGCCCTGAGTGAGTACAGCACTCCCAGCGTTTTCTCCTGTACGTTGCCCCACTTTCCCTGGAACTCCCCTCAGGTCCTGACCCATCGGACCCTATCTCTCCCGATGTCCAGGTGCGAATCCTTTCTGGAACACCTGCAACGTGCCCTGCGCAGTCGCTTCCACCTGCGGCTATTGGGGGTACGCCAGGCACAGCCGCTCTGCGAGGAGCTCTGCCAGGCCTGGTAGGAGATGCGGGGGCAAGAGGCGTGGCTTGTGGCTTGCGCGGGCGGGGGGGGGGGGGGGGGGCCGGAACCTGCGGTTTGCTTGGCCTTCTGTGTGTGGCCTCCAACACGACCGAGGTTTAAGAGATGCAGCTTAATGTTTAGAACCCAGGGAGAAAGGTGGGAGGTGTGAGAAGCCCCCAACTTTTAAGATACCTGCGTATGGCGATGTGGCTTTTCATAGCCCTGAGATTTTCTTTTCTTTTCTTTTCTCTCTTCTCTTCTCTTTTCTTTTCTTTCTTTTCTTTTGGAGATGGAGTTTTGCTTTTGTTGCCCAGTCAGGCCGCAGTGCAATGGCGAGATGTCTGCTCACTGCAACCTCCGCCTCCTAGGTTCAAGCGATTCTCCTGCCTCAGCCTCCCTAGTAGCTGGGATTACAGGCGCCCGCCACCACGCCCAGCTAAGTTTTGTGGGTTTTTTTTTTTTTTTCTTGAGACGGAGTTTCGCTCTTGTTACCCAGGCTGGAGTGCAATGGCCTGATCTCGGCTCACTGCAACCTCCACCTCCTGGGTTCAAGCAATTCTCCTGCCTCAGCCTCCTGAGTAGCTGGGATTACAGGCACACGCCACCATGCCCAGCTAATTTTTTGTATTTTTAGTAGAGACGGGGTTTCACCATGTTGGCCAGGATGGTCTCGATCTCTTGACCTCGTGATCCACCCGCCTCAGCCTCCCAAAGTGCTGGGATAACAGGCGTGAGCCACTGCACCCGGCAAGTTTTGTATTTTTAATAGAGACGGGGTTTCACCATGTTGGCCAGGCTGGTCTCGAACTCCTGACCTTGATCCACCTGCCTCAGCAGTGGGGTTGGGATTACAGGTGTGAACCACTGTGCCAAGTCAGGCCCTAAGGTTTCTTTCTTTTTTTTTTTTTTTTTTTTTTTGAGACGGAGTCTCGCTCTTGTTACCCAGGCTGGAGTGCAATGGCGCGATCTCGGCTCACCGCAACCTCCGTCTCCTGGGTTCAGGCAATTCTCCTGCCTCAGCCTCCTGAGTAGCTGGGATTACAGGCACGCGCCACCATGCCCAGCTAATTTTTTGTAGTTTTAGTAGAGACGGGGTTTCACCATGTTGACCAGGATGGTCTCGATCTCTTGACCTCGTGATCCACCCGCCTCGGCCTCCCAAAGTGCTGGGATTACAGGCTTGAGCCACCGCGCCCGGCCCAGGCCCTAAGATTTCTAAAGGGGTGAGTCCTCTTGATTGAAAAAAGAACGTGAGGGGGCAGGAAAAAAAAAAAGAAAGAAAAAAGAGAACATGAAAGGGTAGGTGCTTGTAATCTCAGTTGTTGGAGAGGTCAAGGCACAAGGATTGGTTGAGGCCTGGAGTTCAAGACCAGCTTGGGCAACATGGCAAGACCCAGTATCAACAAAAAATTTTAAAATTAATCAGACATGGGCTAGATGCAGTGGCTCACGCCTGTAATGCCAACACTTTGGGAGGCCAAGGCGGACAGATCACCTGAGATCAGGGGTTCAAGATCAGCCTGGCCAACATGATGAAAACTTGTCTCTACTAAAAATACAAAAATGAGCCGGGTGTGGCGTAGGCACCTGTAATCCCAGCTATGCAGGAGGCTGAGGCAGGAGACTTGTTTGAACCTGGAAGGTAGAGGTTGCAGTGAGCAGAGATCTGTCCACTGCCCTCCACCCTGGGCGACAGAGTGAGACTCTGTCTCAAAAAAAAAAAAAAAAATTATTCGAACATCATGGCGTGCACCTGTAGTCCCAGGTACTTGAGACACTGAGGTGGAAGGATTATTGGAACCTGGGAGGGCAAAGCTGCCAGAAGCCATGATCATGCCACTGCACTCCAGCTTGAGTCACAGAGTGAGACCCTGTCTCAAAAATAAATAAATAAATGGAAAATGAAACAGTGAGGGAATATGAGGGGTTGGCCTGGAACAAATGGTCTGAGGTCTGCAGGGATGAGGCCAGTTGTGACATAACCCAGAGTATAGAAAGATCTGGTAGAATATGGCGCGGGGTGAAATCTGGAGAGATGGGGTTAGTAGGGAAGTGGTTCTAAGAGGCTGGGCCTGGATCCGAGGGAGGAGCATAAACTGAACTCAGTCCTGAAGAGCCGGAATCCCGCTGAAACGTAGCTACAAAGCCATCTCTCCACATGCTCTCTCCAGGTTTGCCAACTGCGAAGATGATATCACCTGCGGCCCAACTTGGCTCCCACTCTCAGAAAAAAGGGGTTGTGAGCCCAGCTGCCTTACCTATGGACAGGTGAGCGTGGGGCAGAGGGTGAAGGGAAGAGACTGACGACAGCCTCCTCACCAAATTCTTTCTTATCGTGTCTAGACCCCAGAGATCGGATTGGCACTCCCCGGGTCCCGGCTTACACCCTTCCCTAGGCCAGCCTCCGTATTGGGTTGTGCCTGTTGACTCCAAAAGCTCTCAGAATCCAGATTTGCCCTTCCCAAGAAACCGTCCCTGCTCTGGGCCCATCCACTGTTCATCCTGGAGGACCCAGAAGCCCAGTCACCCTCTATAAAACCCCAGCCTTGATACAGACCTCTCCGCACGCCCCCACTGCCCTCAACCCTGATTCAGCCCCCTAGGGCCCAGTAAGAACCTTCACCACCCCCCAGGGACCTGCCCCCACTCGGGTCCCACACACAGACTCCCAGGCCACACGCTTCCGCGCTGATCCCAATCCCAAAGGAATTGACAGGCCACGCCCCTGGGAGGCAGACCTGCCCCCCCCCAAGTCTCTGGACTCCGCCCACAAGGGCCCTAACGCCATCCTTTTCCCTAGACCTTCGCAGATGGGACGGACCTTTGTCGCTCGGCGCTGGGCCACGCCCTACCGGTGGCTGCTCCTGGCGCCCGTCACTGCTTCAACATCTCCATCTCCGCGCTACCACATCCCAGACCAGGACGGCGGGCCCGGGAAGCTCCCTCCCGGCGCTCCCGCCGCCCTCGCAACTCCATCCTGGACGCTGCGGGCAGCGGGAGTGGCAGTGGAAGCGGCAGCGGTCCCTAGTGGACGCGTGGCCCTGAGTGGGCGGCGCGTCCCTCCCCCCAGCCCCGCCCCTCAGACACCCAGAACCCACCCCTCTCCCTCTGGGCGTTCTGATAGTTTCCAGATTTATGTCCCTCCCTGGAACTCCAGAGACTCACCTCTCTCCAGTTTATCCCAGAAATGACCCAACTCTCTCTCACTTTTCCCTCTCCCTCTTGAATAAAGTCTCCAGCTAGAGCATGTGATGTGGCTGCTTCTTGGGGAAATAAGTGGGAAGGAGAATTGTCAGAAAGTAACAGGTGTCTCAGGTTTAATTCTCAGATCCTAGAATTAGTAACTGATTCATCCTAGAGTGTAAATGATGGATAGCTTGTGCCCTAGAGCAGTCAACATAACTCAGAACACCCAGGTGTTGGAAATGGAGAGGGGGTCAGAAAAGGGGCTGACAAGGGCAGGAGAAGTTCCTTCCCACTGTGTGCCACCAAGGCTGCCAAGAAGCTGCCTAACTTGTATAGCCCTCAAGACAAACTTCAAGGCCAGGTGCGGCGGCTCATGCCTGTAATCCCAGCAATTTGAGAGGCTGAGGTGTGTGGATCGCTTGAGCCCAGGAGTTCAAGACCGGGCTTGGCAATACAGTGAGAACCTGTCTCGAAAAAAAGAGAGAGAGAAGGAAGGAAGGGAGGGAGGGGGAAGGGGAAGGGGGAAGGAGGAAGGGGGGAAGGTGGAGGGGGAAGGGAGGAGGGGGGAGGAGATGGGGGAAGGGAAGGAAAAATTAGCCCAGTATAGTGGTGGGTGCCTGTACTCCTAGCTGCTCAGGAGGCTGAGGCAGGAGGATCACTTCAGCTCAGAAGTTCAGGGCTGCAGTGAACCACAATCACACCACTATATTCCAGCCTGGTGACACAGTGAGACCCTGTCTCAAAAAAAAAATAATAAGACACGCAGACACTGAATACCAAGCTGGGCATAGTGGTATGTGCTGTACTCTCAACTACTTGGGAGGCTGAGGTAAGAGGATCACTCGAATCCATAAATTTGAGGCTGCAGTAAGCTATGATCCTGCACTCCAGCCTGGGCAAAGGCCAGACCCCAACTTTTTTTTTTTTTTTTTGAGACTGAGTTTCACTCTTGTCACCCAGGCTGGAGTCCAATGGCAGGACCTCAGCCTCACTAGTAGCTGAGATTATAGGCACCTGCCACCACATCTGGCTAATTTTTTGTATTTTTAAATAGAGACGGGGTTTCACCATGTTGGTCAGGCTGGTCTGAAACTCCTGACTTCAGGTGATCCACCGCCTCAGCCTCCCTAAGTGCTAAGGTTACATGGGTGAGCCACTGCACCTGGCTTTTTTTTTCCCCCAGACACAGTCTGGCTTTGTCTCCTAGGCTGAAGTGCAGTGGTGCAATCTTGGCTCACTGCAAACTCTGCCTCCTGGGTGATTTTTGTGCCTCAGCCTCCAGGGTAGCTGGGATTGCAGGTGCAGACCACCACACCTGGCTAATTTTTGTATTTTTAGTAGAGCTTGTCCAAGACCTCCTAACATATTATACATATACAGACTACAGAGTTTGATGGGAATGACCAGGAGTGGCGGTGCGTGCCTGTAATCCCAGCTACTTGGGAGGCTGAGGCAGAAGAATCGCTTGAACCCAGGAGGCAGAGGTTGCAGTGAGTCAAGATCGTGCCATTGTACTCCAGCATGGATGGGCAACAGAGTGAGACATTTTCATAGTTCTGGGCTTCGACTCAGTTCAGCTGGGCAGTTCTTCCTGAAGCTCTGTCATGCACTTGGAGATAGTGGCTGGGGCTGAAATCATGCAGTCTTCCTTGCTGATATATCAAGGCATTGGCTGTTGCCTTGAACTTCTGCTCGGGCTGTTGGGCAGAATATCTGCACACAGCCTCTCTGTGGCTTGGGCTTCCTCTCAACATGGCAGTTAAGTTCTAAGGGAAATGTCCCAAGAGAGAAAACCAGGTGGAAGCTGTTTCACTTTTGATGACTTAACCCTGGAACTCACAGTGTCACATCTTTCACTTTCTATTCACTACAGTGAGTCACTGAAGCCAGTTCATATTCAAAAAGAGGCATCACAGACTCCACCTCCAATGGGAGGGATGTCAAATAAAATGCTTAGAAAGTGTGGCACATAATTATCAAAGAATGTAGACACCATCTATTATGATTGCTTCTTGTGGCTGTTAGGTACTGTTATTGATGTTATAGACTGTGTAATTGTGACAAGGCGGAGCATTCAAGGAAGAAAAATAAAGCAAGTCTTTGAAGGATCTCCAGTCAGATAATAAAGCCATGGAGGACATTCCAAGTCAAAGGCCTAGAGATTACATGTTCTGGGAACTCCGAGCTTCTCAGGAGGCCTAGGATACAGTATAGGAGATGGGGTCTGGTCCTGGAAGACACTGGATGCCAGGCAAAGGCACTTGAACCTAAGGATAGAGTGTGATGTACCAGGCATGGTGGCTCACACCTGTAATTCTAGTACTTTGGAAGGCTGAGGCAGGTGCATTGAGATCAGGAGTTTGAGACCCAGCCTGGGCAACAAGGTGAAACCCCATCTCTACTAAAAATAAAAAATAGCCAGGCGTGGTGGTACACACTTGCAGTCCCAGCTACTTGGGAGGCTGAGGTGGGAGGATTGCTTCAGCCTAGGAGGTGGAGGCACTGCTGCCCTCCAGCTGGGGCAACGGGGACCATGTCTCAGAAAAAAAAAAAGTGTGTGTGATACAAGGTTTGGCAGTCTCAGTTACTTGGGTGGCTGAGGTGAATGTATTGCTTGAGGCCAGGAGTTCGGAAACAGCATGCGCACCATAGCCAGACCTCATCTCCAAAATAAAGTTGCATGGAGTGAAGAAATGCTATGTTATGGGTTGAATGGGTCTCCCCACATTCATATGTTCAAGTCGTAACTCCTAGTACCTCAAAATGTGACTGTATTTGGAGACAGCATGTTGAAAGAGATAATTACGGTAACATGAGGTCATATTTGTGAGCTCTAATCCAATGATTATAAGAAATTAGGACACATGGCTGGGCACCGAGGCTCATGCCTGTAATCCCAACACTTTGGGAGGCTGCAGTGGGAGGATCTTTTGGACCCTGGAGTTTCAGAGCAAACTGTGCAACACAGCAAAACCCCCATCTTTTAAAACAAATTTCTTTTTGAGATGGAGTCTCTTGCTCTGTCGCCCAGGCTGGAGTGAAATAACACAATGTCAGCTCATTGTAACTTCTGCCTCTCAGGTTCAAGCGATTCTCCTGTGTAAGCTTCCTGAGTAGCTGGGATTACAGGCGACCACCATGACACCCGGCTAATTTTTGTTTGTAGAACAGACGGGGGTGTCACCACGTTGGCCAGGTGTGTCTCACCATGTTGGCCAGGATGTTCTCAAACTCCTGACCTCAGGTGATCTGCCTGCCTCGGCCTCTCAAAGTGTTGGGATTACAGACATGAGCCACTGCGCCTGGACAAAATTTTTTTAAAAAATTGGCCGGGCACGGTGGCTCAAGCCTGTAATCCCAGCACTTTGGGAGGCCGAGGCGGGTGGATCACGAGGTCAAGAGATCGAGGCCATCCTGATCAACATGGTGAAACCCCGTCTCTACTAAAAAAATACAAAAAACATTAGCTGGGCATGGTGGCGCGTGCCTGTAATCCCAGCTACTCAGGAGGTTGAGGCAGGAGAATTGCCTGAACCCAGGAGGCGGAGGTTGCGGTGAGCCGAGATCGCGCCATTGCGCTCCAGCCTGGGTAACAAGAGCGAAACTCCGAAACAAAAAAATAAAAAAAAAAAAAAATCAAACCAAATCAAATCAATCAACCAACACTCATTCTAATTAGGTTCCAAAACGCAGCAGCTGGACCCAGCTGCAGAGCACACTGCCACCTCGCTCTGCCCCAAAAGTACATCTCCTATGTGTGGTTTTCCTTTAACAACTTTAATGTCTGGGTCAGGGAGACAGGTAGAGCAAGGAGAGGCAGCTGCTAGAGGCTGGTTGCTGACTCCAGGCCACGCTCCAGGAAATACCGGTGGGAAGCACGGGGACAGGTTCGGGACCCTTCATTAAGGAAGTAGGATGTGATCTTCCCAAGTCCCTCCTGATCCTCTGGTGCCGAGTCCTCCCTGTGGGAGAGAGGTGATGACAGTGACCACATCTAGGGAGAGCAGCGCTCCCAGGCAGGGCTGAACCCTAGCCTCCCTCCTTCCTTCCCTATAACACCTCCCAGACACCCATGATACCCACCATATAACATCTTTTGCCTCTTTCTCCAGGATGGTCTGGGCCGTGCGCCAGCTGAACCGGACAAACTGGGGGAAGCCGAACACAGGCTCCACGTGCTCCTTCAACCACACTTTTGTCTTGGGATCTGGGGTAGGGTGGGCAACGGTGACAGTCCAAGTTGCACCATAACATCCAAGCTCCTTGCCACTCTTTTTTTTTCTGAGGCAGAGTCTCACTCTGTCACCCAGGCTGCTCACCGCAACCTCCACTTCACGGGTTCAAGCGATTCTCCTACCTTAGCCTTCTGAGTAGCTGGGATTACACGTGTGTGCCACCACGTCCAGCTAATTTTGTAATTTTAGTACAGACAGAGTTTTACCATGTTGGTGAGGCTGGTCTTGAACTCCTGACCTTAAGTGATCCACCTGCCTTGGCCTCCCTAAGTACTGGGATTGCAGGCACTGCGCCTGGCCAAAATAATAATAATAATAATTATTATTATTAAGACAGGGTTTCACCATGTTGGTCAGGCTGGTCTTGAACTCCTGACCTCAGGTGATCCACCCGCCTTGGCCTCCAAAGTGCTTGGATTACAGGCGTGAGCCACCACACCCAGCCAGCCAAAATTTTTTTTTTGACACATGGTCTAACCTTGTCACCCAGGCTGGAGTACAGTGGCATAATCATAGCTCACTGCAGTCTCGAACTCCTGGGCTCAAGCAACCCACTCACCTTAGCTTTCTGAGTAGCTGGGAGTTCAGGTGGGCACCACTATAACTGGCTAATTTTTTAAAAAAATTTTATAGAGATGGGGGTCTTGCGATGTTGCCCAGCCTCGTCTTGAACTCATGGACTCAAGCGGTTATCCTACCTCAGCTTCCCCAAGTGCTGGGATTACTGGCATGAGCCACCACGCCTGTTCTTCTTCCCCTTAACAAAGGGACAGATGCCTACCTGGGGTCTCAGTCAGTCATTGGAGCTCCAGAGAGACAGCAAAGTGGGAATCGGGGAAGAGAGCAGGAATCCAATAGCCTGGAATCCAGCTCCATCACTCACTGGCTGTGTGGCTGTGAACAAATGGCAGCACCGTCTAGAACTTGGCCTCTTCCACCGTGCAGTGGGGTGACCAGAACAATTTAGAAAACCTGCAGCCAGGCACAGCAGTTCACACCTGTAATCCTAGCTATCTGGGAGTCCAAGACAGGAGGATCACTTAAGCCCAGGAATTCAAGACCAGCCTGGGCAACATAGGGAGACCTCATCTCTTTTTTATTTAAAAAAAAAAAAAAACATTGGTGGTTCACATCTGTAATCCCAGCACACTCTGGGAGACCAAGGTGGGAGGACTGCCTGACTCCAGAAGTTCAAGACCAGCCTGGACAATGGGACAAGACCCCACCTCTATAAAAACAAAGAATAAACAAAATAAAATTATAAATGAAAGGAAAAAAAGAAAACCTCGGAAGCGTGCTCAGCCCTGGCCATGTCAACATTAGTACCAGGGTCACTGCCTGCTCACCATTGGGGTAGCCTGAGCCATAATCAGTATCCAGGTCCTGCAGTTTTTCCACGAACTGCCAGTTCTTCACGGCCTGGTCCCGGGCCACCTGTGGGCAGGACGGGTACCTGGAATCTCCCTCCTTCCCCGTGGTGGCCATGCCTGATCCCTATACAGGGGGATGGTGGAAGCTGGCAGCGGGTAGTATGGTACTGACCTTGGCACAGATGCTGGCAGCACTGACCACAGGGTAGAGGGCATCTGCTTTGGCCTTGACTGTCACCTCAATCCCGGGAAAACTTTGCTGCAGCCGCTTCTGGTATGTCTCTGGCATGCCTACGGTGTCCACAAATACCTGCCATGGCAACAGAAACATATTAATTGAACACAACATCTGAAAAAAAACAACTGTACCAATGCTCTAGCCTCAAAGCCCTGTCACGTTCTTCCTGCCACCCAGAATCCTCTTCTCACAGCTCACCCCCAGGCTGGACCTATCAAGGATTTCAACTAAATATCTCCTCCCAGGCCAGGCAAAATGGTTCACGCCTGTGGTCCCATCACTTTGGGAGGCTGAGGCAGGAGGATCACTTCAGCCTGGAAGTTTGAGACCAGACTGGGTAACACAGTGAGACACCATCTTTACAGAAACATAAAATAAAACAAAGAAAAAAAATCCCAGAACTTTGGGAGGCTGAGGCAGGAGGATCATCCAAGGTCAGGAGTTCGAGACCAACCTGACCAACATGAAGAAACCCTGTCTCTACTAAAAATACAAAATTAGCTGGGCGTGGTGGCAAATGCCTATAATCCCAGCTACTCAGGAGGCTGCGGCAGTGCCACTGCACTCCAGCCTGGGCAACAAAAGCAAAACTCCACCTCGAAAAAAGATAAATAGGCTGGGAACAGTGGCTCACATTGTAATCACAGCACTTTGGGAGGCTGAGGTGGGTGGATCAAGAGGTCAGACGTTCAAGACCAGCCTGGCCAACACAGTGACTTGGATGCAGTCATGGGGATTTGGAAAACAGTTGCTGGGTCAGCTTCTGGGTGAGGACTCATAGAGTAGTCGCTAGTGTGGGTGGGGTCATCCAGTTGTCAGAAATGCAAAAACCTGAAAAGGCACCTCAAAAGGCCAATCTATAGGGCCAGGCATCATGGCTCACGCCTGTGATCTCAGCACTTTGGGAGGCCAAGGCAGGAGGATCACCTGAGGTCAGGAATTGAAGATCAGCCTGACCAACATGAAGAAACTCCATCTCTACTAAAAATACAAAATTAGCCAGGAGTGGTGGTGTATGCCTGTAATTCCAGCTACTCAGGAGGCTAAGGCAGGAAAATGGCTTGAACTCAGGAGGTGGAGGTGCAGTGAGCTGAGATAGCACCATTGCACTCCAGCCTGGGAAATGACAGCAAAACGAAACTCCATCTTAAAAAAAGGAAAAAATAATCACCTCTTAAAGAGGCTTTCTCTGATCACACTGCATCTACTCTACACTTATTTAGCACCTACTGCATGCCAGATGCCATTCTAGGAACCAAGAAGGTGGTAACAAACACACTAGAAGAAAACCGGCAGGGTGTGTTGGCACATGCCCATAATCATAACACTTTAGGGGGCCAAAGTGGGAGGATTGCTTGAGGGCAGGTGTTCAAGACCAACCTGGAACAACATATGGAGACCCTGTTTCTATGAAAAATAAAAAATTAGCTAGGCACAGCAGTGAATAAAGGCTTGAAGGACGTGAGGAAGTGAATCCGTGAAAAGATCTGGGGAAGAAGGCTCTAGGTGTGAGAACAGATAGTACAAAGTCCCTGAGTGGGGACCAGGTTCATCATGCTGACCCATGTATGGGGGCTTATGGCTGCAGCAGAGAAGTGAGGGTCCTGGAGCTGCTGGGGGAAACTGCTGTCTCCACAGCAGTACTGTTTTCAGAAACCATCTTAATTTTTTTTTTTTTTTAACCAGCTGACCACCTTTCTGCTCAGGCTAAGCCCTGAACCCTAATGGGCAGGACCCTTGTCTGTCTACCCGTTACTGCATGGTCAGCTCTGCATTGGGGCCTGGTCCTCAGACCCCTCCTCAGCAAGGCCTCCTTTGCTCTAATTCCTTTCTTTCTTCTTTTTGTAGAGAAGGGGTCTTCAAAAGACCTGCTATGTTGCCCAGGCTGGTCTGGAACTCCTGGCCTCAATGGATTTGCTCACCTCAGCTTCCCAAAGTGCTGGGATTACAGGAGTGAGCCACCACACTCAGCATACAATTCCTACCTTGAGGTTATTTTGTCTTGTTATTCTCTCAAAACCGGTCTGTTCTTTCCCTGAGAGCACTCAAGGCAATGCTGATTTATGTTTTTCTCTGGTAATTTAATGTAATTCTCCCCCACTGTGAATTTTCCTGATTTAATTTCCACTGTGATAGGAAAATTAAATGTCGAGATGTGCATTTCAAAAAGACTACCTTCTGTTGCTGTATGGGGAACAGACTAGAGGGGATAGGAGGGTGGGGGATGAGAGACGAAGCTCAGCAGGTGTCCAGGGAATGGGGGGTGTCCTGGGCTAGGACAGAGAGAGTTGGCAGGCAGACACGTGGAGACTGAGCCTTTAGGATGAGAGAGAGATTAAATGGAGATGGGAATAGGGACTACACTGTGGTCCTGAGTGAGTCATACATTTAGGGTAAGAACAGAAGCATGAAATCAACAGTAGCAATGAATATGCCTGAGGCACTCCAGATGTATCTGTTGCCCGATCTGCCTATTCCAGGTTTTTGCCCCATTTTTATTTTTAAAATTTTCATTTTGTGCTCTGTTGACCAGGCTGGAATGCAATGGCTCGATCTTGGCTCAGTGCAACCTCCAATTCCCGAGTTCCAAGTGATTCTCCCACCTCAGCCTCTCCAGTAGGTGGGATTACAGGCACCCACCACCATCCTGAGCTAATTTTTTTTATTTTTGTAGATATGGAGTTTCGCCATGTTGGTCAGGCTGGTCTCGAACTCCTGACCTCAGGTGATCCACCCGCCTCAGCCTCCCAAAGTGCTGCGATTATAGGCATGAGCCCCTACACCTGGCCTCCATTTTTACTTTTTAGTTGGAGGTCTTCCTCTGTCACCCAGGATGGAGTGCTGTGGCATGATCATGGCTCACTGAAGTCCTGAACTCCTGTTTTGACCCCATTTGATCCTGAGGTGACCAAATGGAGACAACTCAACAGTTAGCTCACCTGAGTGACGTTCACGCCCTGGTCCAATGCATACTGTATAAGCCCAGTGGCTGTATCATGGGACAGGGAGTTCAGATTGTATTTGACCCTGTGGTGGGGGACAGAGCCCAGTTAACCTCATTCTAGGAACAAAGCCCAGCCAGCCTATGCTGGCTGCCCCTCTCCCACAGCCCCTCCCGGGGACCCCTCACCGCCCAAGCATGCTGGTAGAGATGAGGTTTGGAGACAGCACGTCCAGTGCCCAGCCCACAAAGTCCCCGTCCTCCTGCATTTTCGCAAAAAGCCTTTCCCGCTCGCTCTCCGATAGGGTCTTTGAGTCTGGGAAAGAAAAGAGGAATGGCTGTTTCTCCCAGTTCCTGCCCTCCCCTCCAGTTTTCACGTGCCCCTACACATACCCAGGAATCCCTTCCCAGACGCACACCCCGGGCTCACCTGCCACTTTCAGGGCCTCCAGATCTGCCAGGCGGGACAGGGGACAATAACAGATTGCGTAGACCATGGGGCCTGGGGAGGAAGGGTGTCAAATTTCTGGGAGCCGGGGTCCAATCGCGGAGCCCGTGAACGTTGCTATTCATCCCTGTTCTATCATCACCTCTTTGGGAGCTATCACCACTACCACGTCCCCTCCCCAGGTGCGGTACAGTCCCTACTCCCGTTTCCTGCATCCTGCGTACCACGCTCCTCCCCTCTCTGGCCCTAGGGGCGCACCCAGCACCGGGCCCCGGCCCGCCTCATCGACGCCCAGGACGCAAGGGTCCTTGCGGCACAGTACAGGCACAGGCGAACTCAGGCGACAACGGCCCGTATTGTCCCTCTCCAGCTCGCTGAGATCCATGCCGCCTCGGCAGCCGCCACCAGCTGCAAGAACCAAGGCCGGAAGACCAGATCTCAGCGCGCGTTTTCCGCGAGCCTCGCGGCGGCGCCTGTCTCCGGCCAATCCGCGCGCAGAACACGCCCCTGAGACGCTCCTGCCGCCGTAGACGCTTACGCAGCCGTCGCCGACGTCGCTGCTGCGCGCCCCCCTGGGAATTGTAGTCCTGAAGGGTTATAGCCGAGAGCTTTAAGTGTGGTGAATTCGTTGGACTGGGTCGCTTTGCAAGCTCTGCTTCACGGTCTCTGGGGCCCCGCCTGCATTAGCCAGTGGGAAGAGAGGGAAATAAAAGGGAAACTGAGGCGCAGCTTGGAAGACCCAGCCTAATGAGGAACTAGAGGGTCAAGTATCACTCCACTCCCAGGACACAGGTCCTCGCGTGACTGGGGATGATCACTGAATCCCCACCTGGATTCCGCGAGTGCGGTCCCTTTTTCTGCACACATTCTAAGTCCCCTGTACCAGGTAGCCCCGCTTCCACTGGGCTCAGGCCTTTGGATTTGGAGTCCCCAAACTCCCTCCCTTAGTTGCTCCCTCTGGCCCACCCGAACTCCCTTCAACATCTCTGCTTCGTATCCTCTCTCTTATTCAGGCCAAGCCTTCCCCACCCCCAATGGAGATCCCAGACCTCAGTCGACTCCTGCTCAGGGTCTCTGCCCACCATGGAAGCTCAGTCCTTCCAACTTAGGATGAATGTCCCCTACCCCACCTCTCGGCCTGTCTCCGTCTTTTTTGTTTTTTGTTTGTTTCGTTTTGTTTTTTTGAGACGGGATCTCCCTCTGTTGCGCAGGCTGGAGTGCTGGGGCGCGATCTTGGCTCAGTGCAACCTCCACCTCCTGGGCTGACGCTATCCTCCCACCTCAGTCTCCCAAACAGCTTGACTACAGGAGCACACCACACGCCACCAGGCCCGACTATTTATTGTAGAGACAGGGTCTCAGTATGTTGCTCAGGCTGGCTTCAAACTCCTGGGCTCAAGCGATCCGGCCACCTCTGCCTCCCTAGCTATCCACGGGGCTCACAGCTCCTGACTCAGCTTCCCCCTAACCAAATCAGCCTCAAGTCACTCAAGTCTTGGAGCTTCAGTTCTCCCTTCCCCAAACTCGCCTCATACGCGCCCCGCATCGCAAGGCCTCCCTCCCCAACCACCTTGGGTCCCGCGGCTTAGGGTTTGCCCCGGCCCTGCCGCCCGTGGGCCCCTCTCTCACCTGGGCTCAGAGCCTCCAGTCGCAGTCGAAGGGTTTGCAGGATGGACAATCCCGTTGCCGGCAGGGCCGTATCTGGATCAGGTTCTCTGGGTTCATGAAAACCGGGCCGGACGTTGTGCCTAGCACCTCGCGGCTGCGCTCCTGCTTGCCCTGGTCGCAGAGACACCGCCAATTTCCCCACGGGCCAAGGATCGAGTCCTCGACTTCTAGAGATAGAAGGTAAAGCTAAAGACCCATGTAGAGACGGCCTACTCCCAATCCCCTCTCCCAGAGTGGGAGAATGATAAAAGATACTAACAAATAAAAGAAGCGCATATCCAGTAGATTCTGCCTCTATGCCAGGCACCCCGACACAGATTATCTGATGTAATTTTTTTTTTTTGAGACAGGGTCTTGCACTGTCGCCCAGGCTGGAACACAGAGGTCCAGTCGTAGCCCACTGCAGCCTCAACCTTCTGGGCTTAAGCTATCCTCCTACCTCAGCCTCCCAAGTAGCTGGGACTACATGCCACCACACCAGGCTAATTTTTTGTATTTTTTGCAGAGATGGGGTTTCACTGTGTTGCCCAGGCTGGTCTGGAACCCCTGGGCTCAAGTGATCCTCCCACCTCAGCCTCCCAAAGTGCTGGGATTACAGGTGTGAGCCAGCTACCATGCCCACACTTAATCTTTCTATGAGTTTCAGGTGGGGAAACCAAGACCCAGAGACAGGAAACCAACCTTCCAAGCTCATACATGGGGTAAGTGGTCCAGAAAAACTACAGCCTGACGCTTCCAAGCTGTGCCAGCCTGGCCAGTTGTGAGTGTGCTAAAACATCCTTGGGACAGCCGGGCGCGGTAGCTCATGCCTGTAATCCCAGCACTTCCAGAGGCCAAGGCGGGTGGATCATGAGGTCAGGAGTTCAAGAGCAGTCTGGCCAACACAGTGAAATGCTGTCTCTACTAAATACACAAAAAATTAGCTGGGTGTAGTCATGGGCGCCTGTAATCCCAGCTACTTGGGAGACTGAGGCAGGAGAATCGTGTGAACCCAGGAGGCAGAGGTTGCATTTGCAGTGAGCCAATATCTCACCATTGCACTCCAGCCCAGGCAACAGCACGAGACTTCGTCTCAAAAACAAAAACAAACAAACAAAAAACACACACAAAAAATCCTTGATGCTTGCTTCTGAAGCTGACTTCTGTCTTCAGGGGTGTGACCAAGGCCCCACCTAGCAGGTATTATGCCACCTGACCAGCAGGACTGTCAAGTGATAAATGGCATAACTGACATAATGAGGGTAATTAAAGCTCCTGCCCCTGTGTTAGCATATACAAACCAATTTATTATGATCAGGTCTTGTTTTGTTTTGTTTTTTTAGACAGGATCCTGCTCTGTTACCCAGGTTGGAATGCAGGGGCATATTCATGGCTCACTGCAGCCTCAAATTCCTTGGCGAAATGGTCCTCCTGTATCAGCCTCTTGAGTTGCTGGGACTACAGGTGCATGCCACCATGCTAGGCTAACTTTTTTCTTTTTTTTTTTTTTAAGAGACAGGGTCTCTCCATGTTGCCCAGGCTCGTCTTGAACTCCTGGGCTCAAGCAGTCCTCTCTACTTGGCCTCCCAAAGTGCTGGGACTACCAGCCTGGGCCATCAAGTCAGGCTAATTTTTAAAATATATTTTTTGTAGGAGGGGGGGTGGAACACACACACACACACACACACACACACACACACACATATATTTTGTAGAGATGGAGTCTTGCTATGTGGGCCAGGCTGGTCTGGCCTCCGAGACCGAGGGATCCTGTCACCTCAGCCTGCAACGTGCTAGGATTACAAGCGTCAGCTACTGGGTCGGCCACTATGATCACTTTAAAGGGCTCTTTACTGAATCTGCCCCTTTTTCCTATGAGACAGATCTTATCCCAACTCCAATCTTATCCCACCTCACCGCTCAGAAAGGTCTGACACCTCCTACCCTGCCACACCCATGTCTCTGCCACACCTCATTGACCTCTTTCCATTTTTCCTTCAAGCCTTTTCTTTTTCTCTTTTTATTTTTATTTATTTAGTTAGTTAGTTAGTTTTTGAGACGGAGTTTCGCTCTTGTTACCCAGGCTGGAGTGCAATGGCGCGATCTCGGCTCACCGCAACCTCCGTCTCCTGGGTTCAGGCAATTCTCCTGCCTCAACCTCCTGAGTAGCTGGGATTACAGGCATGCACCACCATGCCCAGCTAGTTTTTTGTAGCTTTAGTAGAGACGGGGTTTCACCATGTTGACCAGGATGGTCTCGATCTCTTGACCTCATGATCCACCCGCCTCGGCCTCCCAAAGCGCTGGGATTACAGGCTTGAGCCACCGCGCCCGGCCGTATTTTTATTTTTTATTTATTTTTTTGAGACGATGTTTTGCTCTTATTGCCCAGGTTAGAGTGCGCATGATCTTGGCTGACTGCAACCTCCGCCTCCCAGGTGCAAGCAATTCTCCTGCCTCAGCCTCTGGAGTAGCTGGGATTACAGGCATGAGTCACCACGCCTGGCTAATTTTTTATTTTTAGTAGAGATGGGGCTTCTACTAAAAAAAACAACATGCCCGTTGGTCAGGCTGGTCTCGAACTCCGACCTCAGGTGATCCTCCCGCCTTGGCCTCCCAAAGTGCTGGGATTACTGACATGAGCCACCGTGCCCGGCCCTCCTTCAGGCCTTTTCACCTTGGCACTCGCTATTTCCTCTTCCTTGGACACTCTTTCCCCAAATCTTTCCATTTGGGGCTTTTGCTTGTCGTTCTCGCTGCACTGGTCACCTGTCTTCTGAAACCGGGCCCTCTCTGACTTCCCAAGCTTGCCCGCCCCATTCTTTTTCTGTCTCTGCCCTTCCTGGCACCTATCCCAGGGTTTCTGGATGTGTGGCTTCAGTATCCTGCCCACACCCCCTCTTCCCCTGTGAGCTGCTTTAAAGCAGTATCTATTTCAATGTATCCAAGAGTAAACCCAGCCTCAGAAAAAAGTAACCAGCCCAAAGGGACGCCTCCAGTGCGAAGCTGGTTAGAGATTTGCAGTCCGCGGAGGAAGGCTTCTTTGCAGCCAGCTGGAGAAGTAGGGCAACGAGGAGCCTTTGGGCATCGACATCCCCGCCGCCTTGCAGTTACCCTTTAGATGCTGCAGCCTCAGCTGCTCCCAGGTGTCACCTTCGCCCAGCTGGCCGAAGTACTGATAGTCCTGGTAGACCTGCGCAGGAGTCTCCAGCAGCAGGAGTAGCAGAGGCGGCAGCACCAGCGCCGCCGGGGTCCGGGCCATGCCGGATTCCAACGGCCCCCAGCGAGCTCCCAGGCTGAGTGGAGCGCGGAGTCGGCGGCTGCCGCCTTACCCCCGCGGGCTGGTGCAGTGGTCCGGGCCGAAGGCAACGCGTCTCCCCCCGCTGCCCGCAGGCGCATGGACCGGGCCACACACTCCCCCGCACCTATGGGATCAGTGGGCCCGACCGTTCCTCTCGTTCGCTCCCTCCCCCGCGCCCTGCACGTCTTGGTTCGGGCCGGGCATAAAAGGCTTCGCAGCCCAGGGCTCACTTGGCGCTGAGAACGCAGGTCCACGCGTGTGATCATCCGTGCGGCTAGCCTTTGCCCACGCAGGTATGGACACCCAGAGTGCACCTGGCGGGGGGACCCCCTTCAAGCCGCTTTGGCCTGATCCTGACCTCAGTGCTGGGCGCCTTTGTTTTCCTTCCGCCGTAGTGGCCTCCTTTGTCCTTGCGGGGGAAACCGAGGCCACGGCCTTGCAGCGCAGGCCGGATCGCCCGGCTCCCCACCCCCTGCTCGTGGGGGCCTCACTGTCTCCTTCTGGACTGGGGGCTTGGGACACCAAGCTCCAGCCGGCCCGCTATTGGGGTGCCGGTGCAGTGGCTGGGTCACTCGTGCTCTGATCAAGAGTGCGGGTCTCTGGCAGCCTCCGGACCGCGTAGATCCTGTACTCGGGAGGGTGAGGGTTAGTGCTGTCGCCTCCGCCGTGCTGACTCAGTCACGGGGCCTAGCACGCAGCGCGACCTTGGGGAGGGAGGGCAAAGGGTCTTCCCGGGCGCACTGACAGGGCAGGGGTCTCAGCTTTCAGTCATGGCCTCCGGTAACGCGCGCATCGGAAAGCCTGCCCCTGACTTCAAGGCCACAGCCGTGGTGGATGGCGCCTTCAAAGAGGTGAAGCTATCGGACTACAAAGGTGAGCGCGACCCAGAGGGCGCCCAGGTAGGGACGGGGCTGTGCAATGAGAGAGGCTGGGCTCTAACTCCTCTTTGTCCCTCCTCCCCAGGGAAGTACTTGGTCCTGTTTTTCTACCCTCTGGACTTCACTTTTGTGTGCCCCACGGAGATCATCGCGTTCAGCAACCGTGCCGAGGACTTCCGCAAGCTGGGCTGTGAAGTGCTGGGCGTCTCGGTGGACTCTCAGTTCACCCACCTGGCTTGGTATGAGCAGGGGCCAAAGAGAGAGGCTGCAGCTAAGCTCACACCCTCGGGTCAGAGCCGCGTGGCTTCGTGGCCATTGCTCAACCTCTGGAACTTGCATTTCCCCATCTTGAAAATAATGGAAATATTGCCGCCCAAGTCTTTAAGGATGATGAGAGTAGTTAGCACTGGCAACTAGTTGCCTGGCATACAGAGTTGCAGATGCTTTATCTACTTAGTTCCCAGTAGGGAGGCTGTGCTGCCCTATTTCATGAAGAAGGAAACTCCACTTCACCTAAGGGATGGGCTGTTCCCCAGGACAAAGTTAGAGGAGGAGGGGAACTCAACACGGGCTCTCTGCTGGCTGATGCTGCAAGTTACAAGCACAAGTGAAGCCACTTAGCTGGAGCTTTGCCTCTTAAGCTTAGTTTTCCCAGCTGTGGGCATACAGTCCTCACACACAACCCAGGATGGGGTGGGTGGGGCTCCCAGTGGCCTACTCTAAAGCCCCTTATCTCTGGCCTCCAGTGCTTATCACATTGGACCCACAGGGTGAGGACGCTACTGTGCCAGGCATCCTGAGGCCCCAACTCTGTCTCTCCTCCTCCCAGGATCAACACCCCCAGAAAGGAGGGAGGCTTGGGCCCCCTGAACATCCCCCTGCTTGCTGATGTGACCAGACGCTTGTCTGAGGATTATGGCGTGCTGAAAACAGATGAGGGCATTGCCTACAGGTACCGTCAGATCCTCAGCCTGGCACAGGGAGCCCCCATTCCCATGATGCTGGGACCACTCCTGTGCAATGTATTCTCTGCCCCCAGCCCTGTGGTTGGCAGCGGGTGGTTGGTAGTCCCTTCCTTGTCTCTGGCAGTGGGAGCTCCCAGCTCCTCACTGGGAACCCTGATGTCTTCAGGGGTCTCTTTGTCATCGATGGCAAGGGTGTCCTTCGCCAGATCACTGTTAATGATTTGCCTGTGGGACGCTCCGTGGACGAGGCTCTTCGATTGGTCCAGGCCTTCCAGTACACGGACGAGCATGGGGAAGGTGAGTGGACACACACATTCATACATGTGTGCACACATGACACATGGGTACATACTCAGCACCTCTGTCACTCATGCAAACATTCACTGCCTGTCCTCTTACCTGTACAGATGGGTGTTAGCACCCCACAGAAGATTCAGCTCAGGGCTTTGCCTGCAGGACATTTCTACTGTGGTAGGAGAGATACCCCTGACATTCAACCAAGGTGAACAAAATGGTCAGGCATATTGGCATGGTGGCTCATGCCTGTGATCCCAGCACTGTAGGAGGCTCTGGTGGGTGAATCACCTGAGGTCAGGAGTTTGAGACCAGCCTGATCAACATGGTGAAACTAAAAATACAAAAAATTAGCTGGGCGTGGTGATGGGCACCTGTAATCCCAGCTATTCA